TGCAATACATAAAGTGTAAGTGAGAGCAAAGGTGTTTATGGACTTCAGGACTTCTAAGAGCCAATAAAGTATAGCTCCTTCATCACAGACAGCCCATTAACAACCCATGTTTATTAGTAGAAATCCTCTGAACTTAACGTGCCTTTGTCAGCAAAAGTAATTGATGTTGGCCAGTTAATTTGGCTGTTGCAAACGAAGACTTGCCACTCTTACCAGTGGGCCCCATGGGCGACAGTGCCTCCAACTAGCGATTTCCAGGAGCACTGAGCCCATCCGGCTCTTAAAATAGTTTGGTATCAGGGACACAAGCTTCTCTCAGTGGCACCTTTGGCCCTTAGCCTCATAAGCCTGAAGGCCTGGGCTTTTAGAGAAATGCTTGTGTCCAAATTGCTATTTGCTCTGACTTCGGGAAGAATCACCTTTCTATTTTCAGATGAATCTAGGACTTACTTGCATTGAACACATGTTGTAGGAATGTACTCTGACAAGACTTGGAGTCGTGACCCCTGAAGGAATGCAAACTTTTACCACCTGATAAGTATTAGGACTTAGGAGTAGCAATTCTCCTGGTTCCCTTCTTTAAAAAATGGGGAATGAGGATGATACCACTGAACAATTGAGAGTAGAACACTGCTACTATTTTCTAGGTGACTCATGATGATATTCACACCTAAAAATAAGAGACGCTTTGCTTCTGGAGTGGATCAGAGCAGGAGGTTGTGAAATCCTCTCCAGATAACTTCAAATATTAACATGTTCTCAACTGTCTGGAATGCCATAGATATTATCCCGACCTAAAACAAGGATGTAAAATCATGTGTAAGGCATTTGTTTCATTGGCTAAGGAATCCGTCTCAATCAGAGCAAATGCCTTTCTGGTGGTCTGCCTCTGTCACCACGTCACTAAAACATGGTGAACAGATTCTCACAAATTCAGAGAGTGTAAATAAGGGGGGTTGGATATAAAATACAAACCAGACAGCATATGCAGTATTTATTTAAGAATGGACAGCTCAGATTGCTGGGCATTCACCCACTAGAGATGATAGCCACACAGGATACTTCACTCCACACAACTCCAGTGTTGGGTATCTAGCAATAGCTGCTCTTCTGGGCAAGAAGGGCTCACAGCTTTTAAAGGCAGAATTGTCACAATTTAGAAGTTATTCCTGGCCTTCAGAGTACTGCAGCACGAGGCAGCCATGGGAAGGAAGGAGAGCATCACTACATCACTGTGCTAAGCACCGAGGACAGATGATCAGGAACCAGAAGGGAACTTGGGGATGTTTCTCTGTGTACAGGCTGGACCACTGGGCCCCGAAAGCCCACAAGGGCCCCTCCCCTACTCCCAAGTCTAACTCACTGCAGCTAAGGAGACTCACTTCCCCGATGCGCACGAAATCTAACACAGAAAAGAGGAAAATAGACCAGTAACCTTGCTACAATGTTGTGTGTGTGTGTGTGTGTGTGCACGTGCACATGCAAGAGAGCACCTTCATGGTTGCTGTGTCTATGGTGAGAGAGAGAGAAAGCACCTCATGAATACAAATAAGAAAATCTTGGCTGTCCCTGCCCAGGGGAAGGGAGTAGTTAGAGAGTCACAGTGGGCTGAGGAGAGCTGATGCTGAAAAGCAAGGCATTCACCAGATGCAGAAGAACAAGAAAATTGCAGACCAGTCTAGGGGCATGAGCAAAGGACTGCAGGGAGAAAAATAATGAGTTCGGTAACAAGCTAGTGCTCCCATGGTCCAAAAGCACACGATGTCTAGGTCTAAGCACAAGACCGTCAGTTTATGTGTATGTACCACGCTCAACACACCTATGCTGCATGTGACTACCATGAGCTCCATCTACATCCTGTCAGCATACACAGACTTCCACCTGCCAGGACCTGCATTTCTTACTCTTCTACTGTGACCCCCTTTGTCACCTAAGTGGCAAAATAGTACCCAGTCAACACTCCCTGAGAATAGGTGGTTTTGTATCTTAGCTCTCTCACCACCTGGGTGGGCAATTTCGAGGCATCATTCTTTCACGGGCTTCCAGGACTTTGCCCACAAGAGGTAGCTCTGCTCAGGCACAAGCGTAGCTCCTCAATGACACCCCACAACTGGCGGTGCCCCCCGCCTCCTGCTCCTCTGCTACAGGTTTCACTATTCACCCCGTGGCTACCTGCCCTAGTGCTTTTCTCAGGGTCTAGTTCTGAAAAAATCCAAATTTACATATGCAAATGTATTTTTGTAGTTACATGAATAGTCAGTTCTGTAGCTTTCTGTGTGTGTGTGGTGGATCAAGAAGCTGCCCTCGCTGTCTTCCAAATTTCCTCCCCAAGAGAACTGACTTGTACAAGCTTATAGGAAAGAATTGGTTCAGGGACAGATTTATAATTTTTCTACCCAAATGCACTTTGTGTTCACACCATCTACCCAGGAAATGAGATTAATAAAAAATTATCAGAAAGTTTTGTAAGGACCAATATGGACGAAATGAAATTAAGAAATGGGCAGTGCTTAATGGCAAGCAGAAATCTTTTCCATAAAATATAAAACCGTAAAGCTATTGAATCGTAATGAGCAAAAGAGGAAGTTGAGTCTCAGTATGAAACATGTTCATCTTCATTAGGAAATTACTTTCGTGTTTTTCTACATGAGGTGTAATGACTTGTATTAGTGTATATATTTATACTGATTCTCTCCTTCTACCTATCCCTCACTCCCTTTCCTCCTCCCCATGCAAACGCCGTCATCCTGGGTCATGTATGCTTTAATCTAGATCCGTTAAGTTCTGGGCACATTTGCACTTGGAAGAAGGGGAGGGGTTTTAGAAGAGACATTCAGAGAAATGACTATGTAGACATGTAGAATAAATCCTGTGATTTATGATGAGCCACATATGATTCTACTTTGTTGAAATTAGGATGCTGGAGTTCCCCAGGTATGTTTTTTAATATTCTTGATGCACACTGTATGGTCTTTATTACAAAAGATTAAAACCTTAAAAATACACAGTTATACTAACTCCCTACTGTAAATAACTTGGAGCAGCTGGTTAAGATTAGACTCCCCATCATCACCATTACCACCAAGGAAGTTACTTCAAATTTATACTACATTAATAAAAATGATCCTTTTGAAATTATAACATATATCACGTTGTTTTTTGCATTCCTAAGCACTCTGAAAATATCCTTAGAAGGTGAACTACAAATCAACAATGCTTAGAAAGGCAAGTCAATGGTTTTGCCTCACTAATCCCTATTCCACACTGAATCCTTGGTTGAGGGGCCATTTCCTCCTTTTCATTCCCTCCACTATAATTGACCACCATCAGGTAAGTGTCTCTTACCCCACAGAATATTCAAGGTATTATCTCAGCTTCTTGTTTGCACTAAAGAATTCAGAAGTCTCAAAAAGACGCTTTTCCCCAAATAACAGAGAGTCCATGTCTACCCAAAGAAAAAAGCAGGAGGGAGAAAGCTAGTCTCTCTCCCTTATTCTGTAGACTGGTAATTCCCAGTCAAGAGCATTCTGTTCTCCCAGAGACATTTGACTGAATCTGCAGGCAACTTTGATTGTCACAACTGTAGGATGAGTCTCCTGGCATCTAGTGAACAGAGGCAGCGATGCGGTTAAACTTCCTACTTTCTGCACAGGACAATCCCCAGTCCAAAGAGTTCCCCAGCCCAAAAAGTCAAGAGTACTGCAGTTGATAACCCTGCTTTAGAATGATGAACTTTCCCCTTGGTTCCACAACAGGAAGGAGAGAAATATAAAATAAAGTCAGAGCTGCATTTGGTGAGTCCCAGCAGCCATTAACCCTTGCAGTATCCCCAGGGTACTTACAATGCAGGTACACTTGGTGCATCTGTTTCCTTCTGGCTGAAACTCCTCCCCTTCTCGATACTGCACACCCTCAAACACACAGCCTAGAAAGCAAAGAAGAGTTTAGAGCAGGACAGCAGTCTTCAGTCAACTTGACACTTTCCTTCTTCCCACTGCTCAACCATTTGTCACCTCCACCTCTACCTACCAGCATGTCCTTTTTAATAAGAAGACAAGATTGTTTTATTGTAGAAGAATAATGAATGCATGAATACAATATATTGATAGAAACCTGAGGATGTTAGAAATAATAAGCTGCTTAAAAGCCAGTTACCTGCAGGGAATAGCACCCTACAATGAGCCAGCCGTGCAATGTGAGCTCAGAAGGACCACCCCACCACTGTAAGGGGAGCAGAAGCAGCAACAGAAAGCCAAGCACATGACACAAACAGCTGATCCTTGGGGAGTACCAAGACCTGGTACTCCCCATAAGGCCATGATCTCACAATGAGCCTAAAAGTAGAGCCCCTTGCCAAGGGCCCCATAGATGAGGAATATGTGACTTGGCTAGTGGAAGGAACTCACCCAGCTGGGGGTGGGGGGAAGGCTTGGGACTGAAGCTCAACTGGGACCCACACTGTGCAGAGCCAAGAAGAAGGAGCAGGCAGGGAGCAGGAGGTGCCACACAGGTTTTCAATGTCACCCTATATGCTGTCAAAGGGGCTGTGCTCCCCACCACTCCAAGTTTGACTAAAAGCAGAAAACCAGCGGTACCTCTTATTCAGAAAGATGCTAATGACACCAACCTATTCTTAAGAAATCTAACAAGTGACACAGTGACTCCATGTCACATGGACCACAGTATGTCTGCCTAACAATGGCAAAGCCACTTTCTTCCAGACTGTCCTCATGAGAACTTTGCCAGAATAGATGAACTTGCTTTTCACCTAGTAGAAAGTTCTGGAAGTAGTGCTACCAATGACTGAAACTTAGCAGTGGGGGCTCTTGTGAAACACTGACTCACATCCCTGAGAGAAAGAGTTCAGGATGTGCCAACTTCAGTCATCAAAAGAGCACAGCAAACTTTTAGAGCAGATGGCTTCTGAGGAGGAGGAACTGGCGCTATCCATCATCAGCTGATCTAACCTCGAGACCTACTCATTCTATAGCTACCTGTGGAAAGCTATGGAGTCTGAAGTGGAATAGTCAAGTGAAATTATGGCTAAAAAAAATTGTCTCAGGAGTAAGACCTACTGATACCCATACCCAGAGCTAGCAAGTGTTGGTAAGCATGGGTCCTTCCCACTGGCTGTGTCTCTGCATTGTTAATAATGACCACTCATTTCATTCACTGGACACTTCCAGTAAAAGGTCTTTGATTCTTTTGTACATATTTTCACCACTACAGATTCCCAGGCAGATTAGCCACATTAACATTTGACTACTTAAATAAAGGAACTTTAAATGAAAATTCTATGCATCATAATTCACCATCCTTGAGCAAAGAGACAAAAAGGAAGGAGCAGACAACCAAGAATGCCCTAAAATCTGTTTCAGGATGAAACTGACCACAAACTGTTACATGTTTGTCATTATGCAGAATACCATTCCATGATCAATGACAGATGCCAGTCGTGAATTACCAAGGAGACAACCCCGAGGGTTCCCTTGACTATCCCTATCTAGACTTGCCTAAGGCCTCCCTAACAAGACAAAGTATAATGCATTCTGCATGTGGGCCATTCTGTGTCTTCTGATTTTCATCCCAAAGGTTGGCCTCTGAAATTAGGAGAGGAAAGTGAATTTATTTTTTAAAGATTTATTTATTTATGCAGACAAGAATTGGGGTACAGGCCAGAGATGCAGAGGGTGGAGGACAACAGAAGACAGGCAGAGAACAGACAGATAGACTGAAATACGCTGCTGAGGGGATCAGTGGGGGAGACAGGAGAGGTCTACCGTGCCTTGTGGCTCACCTCCCTGGCGGGGGATCTAACGCATGGTACAGTGGCTGTCTATAGCTTCATAATGCTCTGCGCTACTAGGGAGGACCCTAAAGTGGATTCTCTATAACAAAGCTTACCCAGGAGCATTTGAGGGGTTCTGTGTGACACTGGCAGGCCTGCTTCTGCAGATCTGCTTCCCAGGGCATCTGGAGCCAAGCAGCACAATTCACACAGTGTGCTTGTGTGCACATGAGGGCGGGCAGGTGCAAGGGGCTAGTGTAGCAAGGTGGTGAGGAAACCTAAGGGGCTGGAGCTCAACCCCGCATTTGTTCCTGAATCACTCATGGGCTGAGCAGGGACTTCTTTTCATTGGGTCTAGTTTCTCCCACATGAATGACAAGTACATTTGTCCCTCAGTGAATGGTCATGAGGAATTAGGTCAACAAAATGTACAATCATGAACTCATGGAGCAAATGTACAGTCATGAAGCTCTCCTTCCTGGGAACTCAACAACATGAAAGAAGCGATTGCTCAAAGAGGATAACTTTGACTGCTGAAATTCACTATCCTATTTAAATACTCACACTTTCAAAGGTAATCTAAAAATATGACTCTCTCTTAAGTGAGAAGTCAGCTAGGTGAGTTGCTTCTGTCTGTATCAATAAAGCAAATCTACTTAACACAATGGAATTCATAATTAAGACCTCCTGTGACTTTTTTTTTTCCAAAGATTTATTTATTTATGCATACAGAACTGGGGTATAGGCCAGAGGTGTGGCAGGTGAAAGGATTCACCAGAGACAGAGTGTGGAAAAGAACAGGCAGCTATACTGAAATACACTGCTGAGGGGAGCAGCGGGAGGATCAGGAGAGGTCTGCCCCTCCATGTGGGTCCCTGACTGGGGATTGAACTTGTGCTGCAGTGGCTTCTGAAGTTCATAGAATAGTGTTTAGCCTGTTGTACCACCAGGGAGAGCCCCTCCTGTGACTTTTAACTGTATTTGGTATAAATGATTTGCTCCATTATCAATCTCAAGCTTATGTACTCAAAATACCTGAGAAGCCTAGATCTTACCCTCAGAGAGTCTGATGGAATTATCCTGGTTGATAACCTGAGTCTCAAGATCTATTTTTTTAAAGTTTCCCAGGTAATGTTTTGTCATGCTTGAACAACCACTGAGCTAACTTGGTACAGCTTCTTTAGACTTAATTTAAGAGTATGGTTACCTGATGTAAAGCTTTTAATGTATTCAGAGGAGAAAAGAATTCTTTGAAACCCTGTCTAATAGATCTAAAGTAACTGCATTGTGAAAGGAATTCGTTTCAGTCAGCTTTGGGTCCTCAAGTAAGTTTATCCAATCATACGGGTGTCACAGAAATCCCAGTGTGAAAAGTAAGTGTGGCTAAGAGGGGACTGTCAGACTGTCCAGGAGAACTCAGGAAAGTTCGAAGTAATGGGAAGTGATTATCCTTATCATCCAAGGATGAGAAAAGACTGCACTTTGGAAGGGCCTCAGCCTGTGTGCAGTTCCAGGCGCCTGAGAAGGAACACATCATCTTTGCTGAGGGCCCCGGTGAGGTGCCTCAGCCATTTCCCAGGGAGGTTCACACAACGAAAGACCCTTTGGAGCTTAGCCTCAAAAGCAAAGAGTAGTAGTTGTGAGTATCACTTCAGCTCTGGTGAGGAAAAGCACTCAGAATAAAGCCCCAAACACAGAACATCTGGATAAGGCTATGGGCCAGGGGCTTAAGGGATCAGAAAGAATCTCTCGCCTCAAAATCCCCAAGCTCATACCTAAGGGCAAGAAAAGAGGCAGGAGGGCTTTGTAATCCTGTTCGGAAAAGTAAGAGGAAACACTCCAGCCACTAGAAAGGAAAGATCCCTTTGCTGTCAACTCGGCAGTGGGGCCCTCTAAAAAGACAGTGAGTCCAACTAGTTGCACCACACTGAAAATTGAGACCAACAAAACCCTAGGCGAAATTCACTCAGGGACACAGCTCTCAGTTTTCAGAAAACATCTGGTCACCTCATCACCAAGGCGAGTTCTGGCCAAGGTATTGCAATATGAAGCAGTAAAAAGACATTTCTAGAAGCAAGGGAAAACCACAGCCTTTCCTTCCAAAATAAGCATTACCTGTGGCCCTGCAGAGTGGAAAGCAGCCTCCCAAGCCTTGAGCCTCCCCATGCCAAGACCTACAGCACATTGCATTCATCCCGGGCACACCAGAGAGGCCAACCGGACATTTCTATGCAAAGGAGTTTTTACTCTAAACCCATTAGGTACACAGATGTAAAGTGAGAAAAATTCCAGTCAGAGGGGGAGGAAATCGTGCATCCTTGAGCGAACTCAGAAATTTCCACAGTATTGTGCTACACCGGGGAGCCTTGCAATCTTTCCCTTACCTGGACACGTGGGGCAACAGGATTCCAGATGCTTGGAAGGGTTTTTACAGTGAACGACACACCGTACCTCGGACTCTGTGACAACGCCTTCCTGAAAAACACAACCCACAAGTCAGTCAGCCTGGAATGCTGCTGAGGAGCGGTCTGCTTCTGGAAAGTAACCAAACTAGTAGGCGACGAGCCCGAATGAGAATGAGCAAGGCAGGGCTGGGGCCAGGTCTGGGGTCACCAGGGAGGCACCAGGAGGGCACGGAGGAGGGCGGAGCCCCCCATGAAGTCTTCAAACCCAGACTGAGAGTCCTGGCACCTGCTCTTCTCCCTGTCCCTGTTCTTTCTCTTTGGCTTAATTTCTTTCTTTTAAATCTAGTTTCTACCATCTTGTCGTAGTCAGTCAGCAGTGAACAACACCTAACTGTTCATTCAAGGTTGTCTTAACTGCATTTTCCATCATTGGTAGTACACATCAAACGATGAATTGTGAGGCACAGGACACAAATGTAAAATCCCAGACTGGCATCCGGAGACCTAAATCCTAACACCTTTCTAGAAACAAGCAGATCAGCTTTCCAATCTTAGAAATTTCATTCCTCCTCATATCAAGCTTGAATTCCAAGCCTCACATGAAAAGATTAGATACAACTATTTTAAAGTTTATATTACATATGTCAAGATAGAGCTGCTAAGTCTTAATAATTGCATCAAGTGACTCACTTGCAAACTCACCTTGGGACTGTAATATGTTTATATCAGTTGAAATTTTTTTTTTAATTTTTGGAGTTGGCCTTTGAGGATTTTTCTCCCTCTCCTCTCCCCATATTGTAAATAGATTTGTGCTTTTGTTTGTTTAACTTTGTTTGTATTCGGGGGAGAGGAAGCACAGGCCAAGAAATTATATAGTAATCTGATGACTATATAATTTTCTTCATCATGTCTGCTACCATACCACCTCAGTCCAACAAGAGTTATACTGCTAACTGACTTCATATCTATCAGGCCTCAGGCTTCCACAACCAAGGGAATTTAATGTGGTCTATATCACATTTGGGAAAGAAAAAAACCAACTATTGAAAGACCAGCAATATACAACATCAAAAAGGATCTGGGTTGAAGCAATACAAAAAGCTAAGGCCCCAGATCAATTTCCCTTAGTATCTGCAATCCAGATGGAGGATTCAGGGTAGTTCCCAGCATGAATTTCCTCTCTATGAACTTCAGATTTTCTTCTTCCAATAAGAAACTAAAAGCAGAAAATAAAGGTATTTTTTTTTTTACCATCAAAACTCCTTTGGTAGGAAAAATAAGCTATAATTCCATTCAAATCAAATCAACCAGATCATTAGGCAAACTTAACAGTTAATACCAGTGGCACCCAGTGCATGGCTACCAGAATGTACCAGAGTGATTTCTGTGGCAGCCTCTCTTACTGCTTTATAGCCCCATGAGACAGCACAATTCTTACTTTACAGGGGATGAAAGTGAGGTTCAGAGAGGTTAAGTAACATGTTACAGGAATGCTGAATCCATGTTTTTATTTACTACCCTGTACTTACTATTCTCTTATTGATCTTGTGCCCTGAAAAGAGAAGAGGTTGGACAGAGGGCTGCAGTTGCAACATACCGCACAGAGTCTTAAGGGAAGCCTTTCCTGACAGATAGAAGTAAGTGGTCATTTCCTGCTTTCATAGATGAGGTGTAACTCCCTAAAGAAGGGAGAAAGGAAGCAGGGATGGGAAGGCGCCAACTGGACAGAAGAACAATTGTGTAACTACCTGAACAGAGGTTCGCGCTTATGATGTTTCAATGACATGATAACTTTTCACTAGCCAGTAAGGCTCAGACAAAGTGTTAAAAGGGAGCAAAATCCAAAGGCAAAGTTCATCTTTGATAGGTAACATCCCCTTTTTGAGCTCCATTCTGCAATTCAGTGTTTCCTGAATCTCAGGAAAATATCTCAAGCTAGCAGCCAATAATAATTTCATATTCTTGCATCATTCTCTCTAGGTCTTGTTGAGTGGCCAGTGAGCACAGGTGACAGGAGTTCCCGGGCTGTCAGTGGATAATGGCTTACCGCATTACTCAGTCAACGAACTATTTCCTTCCAGGTAATAGTCTTCATTTAAGTTAAATAAAGTCTATCAAAGGCAGCCGAATCCCCCTCACCCCCCTCCCCACGAGTTCATGCAACCTGGACTTCTTCAAGATCTCTGACTGCATAAAAATGTTATACTACACTCCCAAAGGCAAGCGGTTGTCTTATTTAACCATATTGTCAAGAGTCCCTACTAAGAGAGGAAATTTCATTCATCAGGAAGCAGATTTCATTGGGTAGGTTAATGCAAATTTGAAAATGGATGTGAGCTTTTGATGTTATCAAAACTCACTGTTCTTTGCCCCATGAAACTGACTGATTGACTCTATAAGCCAGAGTAAATATATACTTATTATTCAGTGAATCTACTAATTTTATTTGTTCTACCTTCTGCTTATTTTCACAAATAATTTAGATTTACTACAGAAATACACTGAACATTTAGCTGAGTAATAACTGAAGATCTTGCAAGTGAACATGCCCACTCTGGACATAAAAGAAGAAATGACTACATAAAATTCAGAATCCAATAAACTAAATGTCAATAAGTTTGAGATAAATTCAGAAAGAAATACGTACTATTATACTAACTTTCATTTTCCTTTAATTGCAAATGCATGGCCTTGGACAGTGAGATGGGGCTGTAGGAAAATAATTTAGCAGCATTTTCTCTATAGACAAGAATTTTTAAATTATTTCAAAATAGAATGAGCATTTTTGAACACAGTATTTCTTTAGAAGAAAGACTTTGAAAATTTAGATATCTCACGTCCCTTTTGATAATAAAATGTTCTGTAGTGATTAGAGCCACATGGAATCAGTCAGTGCTCATTTCAGAATTCATTCAGCAAACACCAGCCAAGTGGGCTCTTTAGCAGCTGAACTGGTGGTTCTAACATTTGTCGTGTTGAAATCATTGAGATTACAGTGAACTAATTGCTTCAATTTAATACAGTTTACAGACTGGCTCCAGTTCAAAATGTTTCTAAATGAAAGAAGGAAAACATATATCCTCTCACAATACCTCTTTCTGCTAACAGGAATCCATGTTTTACTGAAGTTGACTTCACAGGAAAACATGAATTTTCCCCAAGGACATATGCATCTTCCCAGAAGTTTTCCAGGCACCATTTACCAATCACTAACAAGTCCACTCTGTGTTTCTAGAAGCAAGCCCTATACCATAGCTATCATCTGTCTTGTTGTGGTGAATGTTACAATAAATACCCCCAAATATATAGTTGCTTTTTCTTTTTTTCTCATTTTTGTTTTGCTTTTTTGTTTGTTTGTTTGTTTGTTTCATTCTGGGTTGTTTGAAAAGAGCTCCTGAGATGGATTGATTTTCCCTGGAAAGTACAACAGTTGGCTTTTACCTGACACTGGCGCAGGACACAGGGTTCTGCAGGACTCTGCCATTTGAAGGAGCTGTTATAAGTAGTCCCTTCATAGGTGCAACCTAAACAAGAAACACAGAGGCAGGGAGAAGGTCAAGAATAAGTGTGGGTTTCTTATATTTTAAGAGCAAAAGAAGTTCTGTCCTCTCAGCCTGGAATGGTGATGACAGAGACATTGGCCATGAGTCATTTGGTTTTTTTTCTCCAAAACACAACTAAGCATTCTAAGTGTCGCCTTAACTTCCACTTACATTAATCCTTTGGCCACTAACAAGATTAAGCTCACAGATTACATTTTCAATTGGAAAATGATGGATCAATGAATTCTTTTAGCCAAAATGAAGGATTTTGTATCTTTATATATGTTTAATGAAGTATGAGGACATCCCTGTGAAAAGAAATTTTATATGAGACTAAATAAGCTCAAAATTGCTGAATGTCAAAAGGAACATTTTCTGACATGATAGAAAACAAAAGCAAATATATATATATATATATATATATATAGTAATTATAGTAATTATTCGTAAAATTCTATACCCATCTAAGACTCTTGGCAAGCTACTGTCTTCACCAGATGAAACATCCCATGACTTGCCTCCCAGTTCAATGCTTTCATGTTTCACTTTAATTTTATTTTTATGTAATGTGCTAGATTAAGAAAATCTGAACTACTGTATGGATTATCACATATTATTTCACTGACCGAAACACGTGTCATGCCAAATCTTTGGCTAAAGTAGACAGCAAAGGCACCAGAGATTTTGTGAAGAGGAAATAAGGCAGATAGCTTGAGATTTTGTAGACAGAGCCAAAGAAATAATGATGCAAAGATTACAGCCCAGATTTTGATTCATTTTGTGCAAACAATATCCTCCACACATTTCTAAAAAGATAAGCCTCGCTATGGTTCTGATCATGGCCTAGTAGATGCTCAGAAGCCCAGCAGGCAAAGGGTTTTCCCAACAGTAGATCAGATGCTTTGGCTCAAGAGCACAAAGGATAGCAAGACACACAGAGTGTAATGAAGAAATAAAGTGGCTAGCTCTGTGTGCTTATGACTGATTTCTGACAAGCCAGTCAACCTTGATTTATAAGAGCTTTTCTTGCCCAAGATACAGACAGAAGACTCACCTCCTTCCCTAAATTCTTTTAGACACCGCTGTGGTGATTAAAAAAAAATAAATAAAAATAAAAAGCAAAACAAAAACCAGAAAATGCTTAACACAGACAATAATAAAGAACATAAGAACATTTTAAAAGACATTTTCATAAACTTGGGGGTCCTGATCTACATTCTCATTGAATTGTGAATGAAAAGAACTCACTAATACTCTTTTCTCTAGTTCCTACAAATTAAATTACTAAAATACACAGCTGATTGGAAACATATTAGGGAAATGCTTTCACTATATATTTTTTAATTTCCTTTGCATGAAGTGTTACGGAGATAAAATGTTCAACCACAGGGGACCTTAACGCACTACAAATACTTACGCCAAACCAAAAATGAATACAGTAAATTTTCAACAATGAAAACCAATATAAAACAATTTGGGCTAGCATAAATCTTGCGAACAAACGCACTTACAAGAGACGTGCCCCGTGCATGTCTGATCCACTAACACAGACTTACCCGGATAATAAATAACTTGTTCCGAGTGACAGAGGCGGGGAAATCAGAGGACCAAATCCAATTCATGTTAAGTCCAAGTAAATATGAAATGCCTGCCAAGTCTGCCAGCAGAGTTTCCAAATATGTTATATATTTTCATCCTCTGACTTAAGAAAACTGAAAGGGTGATTTTATGCTGCTAATAGAGCAGGCAAAGAGCTTGCCCTTTTAACTTTGGAAGAGGAAGAGCACTACAAAATCCACAGAGCCCAGGCTGGAAGACTGTTCCTAATAACCGCAGGTTGGGGTACAAAGGCTCCTACGAACCACACAGCACTCTCCGGATTATCACCCCATGTGGGATAAGAAGCATTGAAATAAATGACCCACAGGGCGGGGAACCCAGCAACGCTTTCTGTTTCAAATATGTACCTGTCATTCAGAAGGCTATATCTGCCACCATATCGCAACATAGGAAGATAAAGTTCAAAAAGATCAAAATATATATTTGATCTCTACTGCCCTTCCTTCCAGGTCAGTCTGCCACACCTGAGTCCATATAGTAAACTGGATGATTCTGAATGATGGAATAGACTCAAAAATACCCACGATCATCTCTTCAATCAGTGTGATCCACACACCTGTGATCACCTCTTGAGTAAGTATAATCCATACATTTCCTTCTTTTGCCTTCCTTTGACATATGGAGATTTCAGAACACCATTCACTTTAGTAGATTTCATATGGAAGAGATTCTTGGGTATAAGATCATTAAAGGCACTTCGTATTGCTCTTTGAGTCCATGTTCTAAGATAAAAATGTTCTCTTAATGCAATATATTATTACATTACTATCTATTTAAAGATTCATGTATATGAGAATCCAAAAGTACCTCATATTTATTTCATAATTACTTCTTTTTTTCTGTAAGGCAAACTTCTTTATAATAAATTCTACTTGTCATCAACATTATGTTGCTAATAAGACAGACAGGAAATATTAGCCCCTATTTTTTTTAAAGATTTATTTATTTATACATACAGAACTGGGGTACAGGCCAGAGGTGCAGGGGTGGTGAGAGGCTTCACCAGAGACAGAGTGGGGAGCAGAACAGGCAGATCGATGAAGTACTCTGCTGAGGGGAGCAACGGGCGGGTCAGGAGAGGTCTGCCACGCCATGTGGTCACCTCCGGGGCAGGCGGGAATCGAACTCATGCGGAAGTGGCTTTAGATTCTCAGTGCAGTGCTTTAACCCGCTGCGCCACCAGGGAGGGCCCAGCCCCTATTTTTATTGAAATCCCAAAAGAACTACTAAATATTTCTGACTGTTCAGAGTAGAAAGAGAGGCAAAGAAAATTTTTCCATCATACACAAAGGAAAGACTCTTCAAACTACCCGAGTGAAAGTCAGTTTACTTAATTTTCATTCTTCCAACCCAATGTAGAGTTATATATTGACATAATCATATGTAAACAGTTGTATAATTATATAATCACAAAATAAATAATAAAGTGTATAATAAATAATAAAATTCATAATCATAACCATACAATTACATAATAAAATAAATTTTGCAAAAATTCAATTTAAAAGAATAGGAAAATATAACTGATTTATTATTTTTTTTATTTTTATTTTTATTTCCATTGCTTCCCTTCTGTCCTGTATTTGACTCACTGTAGGCCAGCAACGCAGATGTCTGTGGGCCACTGGTGAGCAGCAGAGCAGGCTGCATTGCACTGCTGGCTGTGTCATAGGATCAGGAGAACACCCAAAGAAACAATCAAAACAATGTATCTCAGATGCCTAGAACGAGAAGCTAACTTACCCATAATATAATAGTTTGTCTCCTTCATTTATCCAATGAGAAAATCTGCACAGAAAATACAAAGTGGCTTGTTCAAAGAGAAAAGGCTTTAGGTGTGAAGTCAGTCCCAGGATCCAGGTGTTGCATGAAGTCTACATTTTCTCATCAGGTCTAAACTGGTAGTATTATTTGGACACTTTGTAATTCATAGTATCCTTTGCAGTGAGGGTTTAATAGCCCAGGGAAAAGGCCAGCACTGTCCTTATAAAATTAAGTGGTAGCAGATCCAGAAACTAAATGAAAGAGTGGGTGGGGGTCAGGGGGCAAGGCTGAGGAATGGTAAGGCAACCAGCAAAGCAGCCATTCCATTTTCTTTAAATAGTTTTAAATAAACTTTCTTCAAGGGAATTTATAAACATTCATTAGTTTCCTTGCGGTGATAAAAAGCTTTCGCGACTCCACAAGCTTCAGTGAATCCATCCCTACTGCCGCAGGAGGAAGTGATTATTTTCTGATAAAATCACGACAGTATATTTAAACCTGCAGCTCTCCACCTCAAGCAATTTTGCCTTCCCTATATCCCCCACCCAGGGGACTTTTGATAATGTTAAGATTTATTTTCAGGTGTCACAACTAGGGAGTAAGAGCGCTAGAAGTTTCTGGTGAGTAAAAGACAGGAACGGAACTCAACTTTCTACAATGCACAACAAAGAATCACAAACCCAGCTCATGATGTCAGACATAACATGCTCTGACCATCAAATATAGCTCAAAATCATTCTTCAGGGCCCTCCCTGGTGGCGCTGCGGGTTATATCACAGCTCTAAGAAGCTAAAACCACTTCAGCGTGAGTTCGATCCCTGCCCCAGAGGTGGCCGCGTGGCGGGTCAGACCTCTCCTGACCCGCCTGCTGCTCCCCTCGACAGTGTACTTCTTCGATCTGCCTGTTCTGCTCCCCAGCTCTCTCTCTAGTGAATCCTCTCACTGCCCCTGCACCTCTGGTCTGTACCCCACTTCTGTATTCATAAATAAATCAATCTTATTTTAAAAAATCATTCTTTACATGGAAAATAATACAAAACCAACCTAAACTAGCTATACTTTACTCTGTATGTATTTTGGAATTTTAAATATTTTCAGGGTAGGGAAGAACTTCAGAGTTCTTTGCCTGAAGTGTTATGGAGCATTATAAGTACTTTTTTTTAATGTACATGCTCTTGGTACAGAAGCTTGTCCTAGTCAACTCAGAAAACACGTGGCAACAGAAACAGGAAAAACACAAGTAAATTGAATCCACAATTAAGCAATAAAACTCATTTTTCTTATTAGTTTTGACCTTTTCCAGTGGCCACATTATCCCAAGGGAAAGAGAGTACCACACATTTTCATCATTCTGTTGCTAAAATAGCTGTTAAAAATCATCAGGAACATAAAAAATGGCACTGGCCTTCTAACAAGCCTTAGCGCCACTATTTTCACCTTCCTAGTCTTAATCCTTTCACTTTTCATGTTAACAGACAGCAGAAAACTGGATCCTATCATAACCAATAACTTAACTCCTGAGACCCACAGGCCTACAACATGGGCCCAACAACCTACCTTTCTAGTTCTTTTCCTTCATTCTCGGAACTCCATCTATG